CTTTCTGGGCTGCAAGTGCACACTGTCCATAAATGGTACAGCAGGTTGAGAGCAGTGCATCTGAAAATGTACAAAGAGTTTTCTGAAAAAGGTATAGCAAAAAGAAAATATTAGGCATATCCCATTTCAAGCATAAAAAATCAGCTTGTATTTAACATTTGCCAGTGGATTTTGTACATAAGTGCTAAGGAGGAAGCTTTCTATGGGCAGCAGAGCGAAATTTTACTTTTTCAGGTTTGACCTTGGTCCTGTGGTTGTTCTGATGTGGTCTTTTCTGCATTTCACAAGTGTGTCCATAAAGAATGCAAGTTAAGCTTCACAGATGAGCCTTTACAGTTTGGGCATGCAGCACAGTTGACCTGAGGACATCTATTACAGCAGAATTTTTAACTTTCTCCATGGGAATTATTGCAGCACCGAACAGTGATTAAATCACTGGTACAATGTCTGTTTTCTCCCCCTTCCTTTCATCACATATGTATGTTGTCAACACAGATAGTGCAGAAAATTCCTTTACGTCTGGAAGTCTTGAGGATTTCCTCTGAACAGTGCACTGTTTTGCACTCCTCAGACTGAGACAAAAGCATAGCAGTGCTGCTGACCAGATCCAGTGTCCTTCTAGTGATGTTATTAGCAATGTCCAGAGGTGGACAGGAACTAGTTATCTGAGCTATTACTTTCAATTTATTTTCTATAGCATAAGGAAAGAGAGATACTCTTCTGTCAACTATTGGAATGGTGATTATGGATTAATAGATAATTTTGTAAAGTGTTTAAGTGGAATAATCCTACAGCAAAAGTAGCTTATTGTGATCAGATAACCTGGCTGATAGTGGCAGAGTTCTGTGACAAGCCTTGCCCTTACAACTGGAAATATTTAAATAAACAAAACCACACCCTGCTTGGGGGATGCCTGTGCCTCTTGTTTGTTGTGTAAACTTACTGAAGCACATCAGGAGGTGCTGCGAGTTGCGAGTTGAATGCATGCAGATACTCCAAAGCTATAAAACTTGGATGAATGTAAGCGTTTTCTCAAGTATAAATATGGTGAGGCACACAAGAATTGCCTCTAAAATGCAAACTTGCCTTGCTGAGGGTATTTTCCTATGTTACAGTGGCTTGAGAGTACGAATGGGCTTCAGGCATACTTAGGCACATGTGAGCTTGTGACAGTCAGTGTTGCTGATGAGTGTGGTGTAACTTTAGCTTAGAAATGCACTGAGTCATATCGAGTGATAAATCAAGTAGCAAAAGTTCTTTTAAACTGCTTTGGCAGGAGTTATGGGCAGATACTTTTCCAAAACAAACAGAAAAAAATCCAAAATCACCCACCAAGGAAAACCAAAAAACAAACAAACAAACAAACAAAAAACGCTTCAGTCCTGGTCCTGATCTTTTCATGCTTTGTTTCTTGTTTTTATTCAAATAAAACCTCATGGGTGAACAACTGTCAGAATTCCAAACAGAAGGGAAGTTTGTGCCTTCTTTTTAACAACTGTAGAGGGAGTTGGTAGCATCATATTTTTGAGTACTTGTTTTGCTGGCCTTTAAGGTTGAAGGTAGCAGCTTGCCTACATGCTTATTAGCAGTTCACAAGCAGCAGTTAAGATTTTAAGAGTTTCTGTGCCTTCTAAGATAATATTTAATGGAATATGGATCTTATGTTTAGTACTTAAACATCACTCTAACAAAATAAGAACTTAAGGTTAATAATAAATCTTCTTTTTAGGTTTGCCTTTACTTGTGCAAAGAACAATTGCAAGAACTATAGTACTTCAAGAAAGCATTGGTAAGGGTCGGTTTGGAGAAGTCTGGCGAGGGAAGTGGAGAGGAGAGGAAGTTGCTGTGAAGATCTTCTCTTCAAGAGAGGAACGCTCGTGGTTTCGTGAAGCAGAAATTTATCAAACAGTTATGCTACGTCATGAAAACATTCTTGGATTTATAGCTGCAGACAACAAAGGTGAGTGATACTATGAATTAACTTTGCTGATCACCTGGTCAGAATAGATGCTGTTGGAGGGGAAAATAAAGTTGTGAGGATCCAGTTAAGAGTAGCAGTAAATAATTTTGTTACTAGAGTATTTGAGGGTTTGACAGGCTTTTCAGAGGTTTAATGAAGGAGAAAAGTATGTTCCTTTTTCTGCGAAATCTGCCTTTTTTTAAAATCTAAAAAAAGTTACTGCATTTTTAATGAAGCATAATGTCTACAAGCAAGTTAAAATGCTGGGTAAGTTTGGTATCCAAAAGGAGACACTTTATCTTATCATTCCACACATCTGCTGAATACCTGTATCTGTACTTCCCTAATAGCCTAATAAGATAGGTGGGTGGAACTAAAAGAGATCATGTCTAATCCTGTTGTCCTCAAAGAAGGTAGCAGGTAGAGGATGATTTTTAAGGCTGAACTATGACAAGTTGTTTATTTAGAACTCCAGTGAGAGAAGAAATTGGGAAAAGGGAATTAATTATTTGTTCTTAGTATTAAAAGAACTGTAGCTGTTTCTTGAAGCTCTCCTGATAAGCTTTTAAGGATCCACGAAGAGGAAAGTTTAACTGTTTTTTTCAGCTTGATTTGTTGTGGTTTCAGTTAGATGAAAGTTTCTTGGGTTTTCCTGTAGTCCAATTTAAGACAAAATCTGGCAAAGCCAACAAAGGTTTTGAATTTCTTACACTAAGGGTAGCTAAAATGTTCTTCTGTTTCATTCAGCTAATTTAATCTGAAATTGCATGTTTCACCACAAATGGCTTTTGAATTTTTTTGTGAAGAAAGGATTAACAGAAAAATCTGTCACCTGAGGCAGTCATCAAGAAATCACACACATCCTGGATTCTTTTATGGGAAATTCCTAGATGTTTTAGTGTAGTTGAAGTATGCATGTACATAGAGTTCTTTTTAATTACCACTAGATTAATTTCAAGTTTCCAAATCTGTGTAAATCTGTAGAATTGGAACAGAATCTAAGAGGTTGTGCAGAACACTTCCCCTCTCCAGGAAAAATTAGCTATAGCTAATTTCATTCTAACAGATGTTTGTGCTACTGGTTAACCTTCAAGAGCTCGCAGATCTACAGCATACCAGGCAACTTCTTCCTGCAGCAGATTATGCTTACCACTAGAAACTGTCTTACTGTATCATGCCTAAACTTGCACTGGATATCAATAGCACCTGCTAATTAATAGTGAGAGTTTGTTGTTATGGACCTAGTGGAATATCTGGGGCCTGGGTTTAAAATTGGTAGATAAGTAGTATTAAAGACATAAATGGAAATCCATCTCTGCAGAAGCCTTAGGTACTGTATCTTACTTGAAAGCATGGAGGATATATTGCAATACGTTAGCAAGGTGTTCAAGGCCAGGATGAGGCCCTGATCAACCTAGTCTATTTGAGAGGTGTCCCTGCCCATGGCAGGGAGGGTGGATTAGATGATCTCTAGGGTCCCTTCCAACCTAAGCTGTTCTATGATTGTATCTGTAGTAAAGCTTACCAGTCTCCTATTTTGCCCCAAACCCATAGTTTTTCACAAAACCGCACTTGACTCCTGTGCAGAGGAGGTGTGAGGGAAGTTTCCTAAATTATTGGCTTCCTACAATAATTTCCTGGTTGCTGGCTTAGGTTCCAGGTAGAATAGGATGAAATTTCTTTTGGCTTGGTCACCTTTAGGTTCCATGTAATGTAATAGAATGTGATATAATTTTTTTCCTGGTTTCTATTGTTGATACGCTGTATATACAAAGAAAAAAGTCCTTAGTCATGCCATTATTTGAGGATTTAAGGCTTTAGGGCAAGGCTTCACTGTTTTCTTGAGAACTAGTTGGTAATTGATTTATAAAAAAAAAATGGGTAAAGGTGTGTTTTGAAAATGCTGCTGGTTTTGACTCTACTTTCTACTGCTGTCTGAGCAGGTGTCCAAAGATGGTTTATTTTTAACCCAGCACTGCAGAATTCTCAGTACAACCTAGTGCATTCTTTCAGTGAGGAAACACATACACGTCATTCTCTCTCTGGGTTAAGCATTCAGAAGTCCTGAGTATTGAAGGAGGTTAAGTTAGTTCCAGTTAGACAGGTGTGCTGTCATGGTACTCAGAAAGGAGCGAGTATATCACAACATGGCTTTAGAGACCAGTGGCTTAAAAATGATCTTTCATTATAGATGCTGGTACTAACTGATAAATGCTTATTTGGTGCCAAGTGCAAGATGAAGTTTTAGTTCACAGCAGTAATAGCTGTGAAGGGTTTGCATCCATTTTTCCATAGGGCTGACTGTTAGGAAGTTAGTACAGCCTAGCTGAAATGCCCAAAGTCATCAGACTGTAAGAATCTGTGTGTGTCTGAAACCTTGCAAAGATGGCTGCAGAGACAGAGCAGTGCGGGTGCAGCTGTGCAGTCCCAGTTCAGTGCTTGCTGAAAGCTTGGGTGGTATGTAGAGCATTCTCAGGTGTAGGTTCTTGTGTGCCCATCACGTCTCCTGACATGTAGTCTGCTGTAAATGTGGGCCGGCGTCATGCTGCAGTTCTTGCTACTAGTAAAGGCATTAATTAGGTCTTTCCTCTTAATACAACTGCATATTTTTCACAGCTGCTGGGAATATCTGACTGGTTCTTGTAGTTACAAAATTATTCTTCAGGTAGAAGGGTGCGTGTCTAGATTAGAAAGTGTTTACAAGCACAGGTAGATCAGCTAAGCCAGTGACATTCAGCTCCCGTCGTGGAGTCACCTTGTGACTGAACTACTGTATTCACTCTGTGTTCTACTGACATTCCATGTGCCCTAGTGACACATGTTCCTCCTCTACTTCCTCATAGCTGTATAGTGTCCAGAAGGTTATAGGAGCTGGTCCAGTCTTTCTGCTTTCCCATCCCAAAATGTACTGGGAAATTGGTGCTCCTATGTTAAGCCAGCTTGAGGGCTGAGAAGCAATGAATGATTTTAACTGCAGTTGTGTTCTGTCTCAATAGTATCTTTATGTTCTGTGTATGTTTTTACTTAGCCAGGAATATATGATGATTTCAAATATTTCTAAGTCGGGAAAATAACTTTCTGGGCCATGTGTTGCATTGTGCTGAACCACCTAAGCAGAAAGTTTGGGGTTTGGTGGCACTTTTTTTTGTTTATTTTGTTCTTTCTAACCCAGATACTTAACTGTAAATTGTATCAGGGACTACTGACCTGCACTGTTCTACTAGCAGAAGAGCAGTTGCAGCAGGCTCCATTTACAGTACTACAGGTTGCCCCATATTAGCTGACTGTAACCGTAACTGTCTGTAGTCAGGTTACAAGTAAGGTGAAGTCTTGTACTGCACAGTTTCAGGTAACATTATGCACCAAAATAATTAGGCCTCTTCATTCCTTCCCCTTAATTGAAATCTGTACTACCCTAGGTGAAGGTTTTGTTCATTCAGACTACCTAACATAGTAAGTAGATCCCTAAGAATGATATTGGGCAGTATGCTGTGGAGAAATGAGCAGAATTCCTTCTTATTGAGAAAAGTAATCTTTCAGCCATTTACTCTTTTTGAAGCTCAGGCTTTAGCCTGAGAAGAAGGAATTTGACTGGAAGATTTTGCTAATCCACACAGCTCAAGTGCTTTTCATCAGTTTAATCTGAGGACTGTCAATGGGATAGTCAGGCTACTTCACTAACAAAATATCAGTCCTCTTCCAGCCACAGACAAAAGTGTTTTCCTCCATATCTCCTTGAATATCTTATTTTTAAGAGTCTTCTAGTTACAGATCCCATCTGTATCTGATCTTTTCGCTGCTTTTTCTCCTGTGTTATCTGCATGCCAGAAAAGGCTAATGTAACCCAGTCTCCATTTTGAAAGACTTTGCTATGTGACACTAGAGAACACATGCAAATACATAGTTTCTGTAAATTCTTTTAAACATTCAACTTGGAAATACTGAAATCTGTCAAGCAATACTGTCACACCTTAAAACCTAGTATTTGGTTTAAAAACAAGCCTGTGCCAAGTCCAAATTTTTGTTTTGCTAGTGTCAATGTGAAAAAAACATTTTTCACTTAAGTGAATGCAGTCAATGAAATTTTAATTGAAACTTGATTATATCCTTGTTATAAATTGTTTCTTCAAGAGGCAGCTTGTCAAAGATGGGTGTTGCAGACTTCACTAATGTTTTTCTCAAACTGTAATCAGTCTTCTAAAAACAAATCTGAAAGCTGCTTTACTCTGAATTTTTCAGGTTTTGTTAGAACTGCAGAAGAAAAACCTTTTGTTTCTGAGTGATTTTGTTGGTTTAAAATAACTTTCAGGTTTCTTGCAATCAGAAACTATCAATTAACCATAATTAATCTCTTAAATGGGTTTCCAAGAATATATGTAAATTTTTGTAATGTTCTTGAACATTCTGAAATTGCTTAAGATTCTTGATTGTGGTGTGCATGTGATGTAAATTAGGTACCTTGTCATGGGGGGGCTGTGCTGCTGTATGCAATTGCTACTGAGTGTAATTACTCCATAATGCAAATCCTGTGGTTGACAGCTTCGTGGCAGATGCTGTTTACTCTGCAGCCAAAAATATTCAGGGTCAGGTTAATTATGACTCGGTAATAATTAACTATCGTCAACAGTATAAGAAAACTTCATCATCATTTGGTCACTAAATGTATAGCTTGTCAAATATAGCAAGATAAAGAAAATGTAATAAGTCCTGCCTAATGGCTGGACACTGCACTGACTGCTGCATTTCGGCTTTTCTGTAATTAACGTTATTCATGTCAGTGTGGATGTAACACTGTCACTTCTTAAAAGCTGGTTGGGGGGCCACGAATCTGACAGACAGTGGGGAAAAAATCATGGCTTCTTTCAGAGCAGATAGAAAGCACGCTTTTATATGTTCTTCTTTGGAAGCAAGGTAAAAACAGACTGAATATTAAGACTTGCAGGTAATAAGATAAAACTGAAGTGGAGGGGTTTGTAATTAGCAGCATATTCTCTTCTTAGGTGGTCACTTAGAGTTAAGAGGGGAAATACTTTATGCAGAGACTCCATTCAAAGCAGCAATGATACTTCAGAAACTTAATGGCATCTTTAAAAGATCTATTTAAACACAAGTCTGGTAGGCTACTTAAAATTAGATAACTAATTTCCCTATTTACTGTTGTTTAGTTTAGACAACAGTAGTGAGGAGTGAAAAGAATATTATAGACTGATTAAATTAGTTTATTTTGAATTTCCACAGCTTTTTGGAGCTCTTTAACTATTATGTTTGAGACCAACTTTTATGTGCCTATGAACACATAACTGTTTCTAATGGTTCCATAAAACTGGTTCAGTGAACCTAGTACTGCTGGATTGTCTTTTCAGAGACCGTAATTCTCTTTGGAAAAAGTCACCTTTGATAGTATGCTGAGTTCTAAGAGTTCATGCTTGGATATACAAAGTAGCAAAAGAAGCATTAGTCCTACCTATAAAACACTTGAAGATTTTTTTTTTTAAATGCATCTTTAATTTCCTTTTTTTCTGTTTTAAAAATCAAAGCTTAAGAGTCACTTCTGTGAGCATATTATAAGGAGCCTCCTACTGCAATAGCAGCTTTCTAATACTCTTTTACAAGTTAGAGAATTTGACTGCATTCTTTTGCCCATTTAAATTAAAAACTTAGTTGAGACTATTCTGTGAATGTGCCAAGGCAAAATTCTCTTTCTGTTACGAAAATAGAATGTAGATGAGATTTTTATTTCCCTACTCTGAAGCATTTGGTAGCTTTTTAGTTATTTTCTCTTATTTTTAATATACTCACTGGCCTTTCTAGAAACATCCGAGTACAAGGGATGCTTGAAAGGGTTTTTTCCACCCTCACTAAAGTGCTTATTTAGAGATAATCACAAGTACTTCTATAAATGTAGTTTCTGTCAATCTGTAGATGGGGCAGTTTTTGCCTCTGATTTTTCTGGACTGAGTGTGTTCTTTGAGGGGAGTGGAAGAAGAGGGGAAGGAAATGTAAGAAGCACCTGTTTAGAAACTCAAAACTTCTCAGATGTTTATGGTAAGAACTATATTCTGAATTTGCTTCTCTCCTTCCTGTTCTTCATATTTAGTTCTTGAGTATCCATCTTGAGAATACTTAGGGACTACCACCTAATGAGATCTTTCCAGCTTGTGCTGAGTTAGGGAATAGTGGCTGTATAATTCAGGATAGAAGTCCAACTGAAATCTTTTATGGGATAACTAGTCTTTTAAAGATGAAAGATTCTTCTACAAAAGTAGCTAGCTATTAAAACGCTTCTTGGATCTGCAACATGAGAGTCATTTTTACAACAAAACAAAATTGGAAAACATATTTGGTGACAGGATTGTTCTTTTCTGGGTATAGTTCTGCTTCGTAGGTCACAAAAAACCTTTTGCCCCCCTCTTGATTTGAATTCCTTTAATAGTCTATCTGTCACTTAAACTTCAAGGTATTTTGTGTCAACTAGTTTAATAATGTGAACAATTTAGTTCTTACCTGTCACTTGTATGCCTTTGAATATCTGCAAATGTATTGTGGCCCATCTTGCTCTTCATAGTTCAGTGAAAAATCATACTGCAGACTTTTTCCCACAGTGAGTGTTTTTCAGTCTCTTTATCCTTGTGCCTTCTGGAAACCTCACTTTGGCCAGCAACTTGGAGGTGGGATTTGACTTTGGTTTTGAAGTCTGATTGCTGCTTGCAACCTCCTACTCCAAGAGGAGAAATCCACCAGTTGCTGGTAACTGTGGATTGTCTGCCAGGCTGAGGCTGGATAGGTTATTGGAAGACTGAAGCAGTTACAGGGCAAAGCTTGAAAAACATCTTTTTTTTTTTTTTTTAAATCAGTAGCCTGGACAACATTGTACTAGACCAGCAGTGACAGGATTAGTTCTGTGTTATGTGTTCAGCACTGAAAGCATTCAAATTCAAGCAGAAAGATGAAGGGAAGGCAGGGCCTGGCTAATGCCCTGAATTGTTCACCTCAGAGTCATAGTGACATTGGCTTCCTGTGGCTTGTCTTTTAGCTGCTCAGAAAGTCTTGCAGGGTAGTCGCAGCCGTCGCAGAGGCATTTAAATATTACAGGGGTAGAAGTAAAGATTTAAGAGTCTAATTGGCTGAGTTTACTTGCAGAACATAATTTCTACTTCATAAGCCTTGTACAGAAGTGGCATGTGTTTTGTTTGCCTTTTGTGTGTATCTGTGGTGTTCATGCAGGTGTTATTTTGCAGACAATGGCACATGGACTCAGCTGTGGTTGGTGTCAGACTATCATGAGCATGGATCACTGTTTGATTACCTGAACAGGTATACAGTAACAGTGGAAGGAATGATAAAATTAGCTTTGTCGACTGCCAGTGGTCTTGCTCATCTTCATATGGAAATTGTTGGCACACAAGGTAATCTTATAACTATTCAGCCTGTCACATGGATAATACTGGAGGGTTTTTTTAATTACACATATGTAGTTTTTCCTACCATAATTCTCTTCTTAATTAGAACATTCAACTTGCTCAGTGTGTAGTTGCTTTGCACAAAGCTATCTACCTATGTGATGAGAAGGCAGCTGAACTCAGCCAAGTTAATCCCTTGTGGAGCTGAGTGAATTGAAGAATATCTGTTTAGGACCTGTGATAATTTCTGAGCTAATAGAACTTCTAAATTTGGAACATTTTTTTACCTTGTTTCTGTGGTATATCCAGCTTTTGTGATACAGCAATCCTTCCTGCAAAACGCCTATTAAGGCATTAAATAATGGTGCACAGCACTATGGGTCTGTTTCCAGACATACTAGGAACTTTTTTGTGGCAAGTATTATGTCTATACAGTAAACACTTGCAGAAAGAGGGGAGGGTGCAGTTGAGTGAAGTAATACATGAGGCATTTAAGGCACTTTTCTGGACAGCCAGCCAGTTGACAATGAGTGATTTCAGGAGTTACCTTAGTGAACGTAAAGCAGCAGAGCTGGAATAAATTCTGTAACTCCAAACAGAGTCTGCACCAGGGTTGGAATAACAGCAATTATCTTTTTCTACAGATGTTATTTCTTTTTTTTTTTTTTCCCCCTTACAGGCAAACCAGCGATTGCCCACAGAGACTTGAAATCAAAAAATATATTGGTAAAAAAGAATGGAACATGCTGCATTGCAGACCTAGGATTGGCAGTTAGGCATGATTCAGCTACAGACACAATTGATATTGCCCCAAACCACAGAGTGGGAACAAAAAGGTAAAATCATTAATGTGATGTCACGTAACTTTTGTAATAAAATGTTTTGCTGTTTATTGACCCGTATAGAAGGCTTTTGTGGATACAAACACAAGCAGCAGGAAAATGTAAGTAATGGCAGGTAGAGTTCCCAGGCATTTCCTTGCCAGCTGATAACTTAGTTAGGCAGTAGGTGCTTAAAAAGGATGTTGAATCTTGGCATCTGTTACTAGCATGTGTAAAATACCAAAAAACTTGCAAAATACTGTAGGGTAGAAGTATATATTAAAATAATTAGGCTTCACAAATGACAGTTTTAGAGACTTTGCTACTGTTATCTGTATTATTTTTCCCTTGTGTTGCATGGAAGTGCTGCTTGCAGCCCAATCTGGAGTGCAAGACAGGATATTGACAGGCAAAGTAAAACTCTGGACTTTCTTTTCAAAATGAAGCCTCAGTGGTAGAACATAGGCACAGCATCTTGGATACAGGCCTTAATGGGATCATGTTTTTGAAAGAAGTGGGAGAACTTAAAGCAGCAGTTGTCTTTGTCATCCGATGCATAAATAGTATTATCAACGGATGAGTCAGTATACTCCCTTTCTTTTAAAGTCCTGCTTCTGAGTTTGGAAATAGAGATTTATTTATTTTTTTGTCCTCAAAAGAACTCAGAGCTGTTTAACTCCATCAACACAAGTGCAAGTAAACTTATTGGCTGTAATTTATCATTGCTGAACTTTCAGACAATAATAACTGGAAGCTGTTTTGAAGAGACAGCTTCAAAACCTAGTCACCTGTGCAGCAGTACAGCATACAGAGATGGCAGTGCTAGCAGTGAACCCCAGCAAGAGTTGTGCAATGTGGACAACTTGTTGTCCTTGCGATGCAATAGACTCAGTAGTATGTCAGACTGAAGTTTGTGTGCCTGCCCAGTGGTTCAGGGCTGTAGGATTAACTGCAGCACACCCAACCAATGCTGGAAAAAATTCTATGGTAACTTTGCCAAATCTCAAATCCATACATTAAAAAAAATACATTCTTTGTTATATATCTTTACTGAGTGAAGCTGCAGGGGAGGGGGTGTGTGTGATTGGAGTTTTACAATGAACTAAGATACCCCTTTAGCTGTGGCTTTTGGGAGAAAAGAAAATGAAGGCTTAGTGCACAAGAGCTTTTAGAACCTGTACTGAAAATTTATTTTACTGACAATTATTTTGCTGAAATTAGTTCGTTCTAAACCTCAGCCATGCTTCTCCTTTAAAATACCACACAAATGGTCAGGTCAGATACATTTTTCTAAACTACTACTAGATTACAAAGTACTGGGCATTATTCCTTCTCAAAGTCTCCAGTAATGATCGGTAGTAAAGCAGCACACTGCTTTGGAATTTGTCATCGCAGTCTTTGCCACTAGCAGGACACATACCACCTCTGACTATATTTTCTACACACACATAAAAATGATGTGCAAATCAACTACTTTCTTTAGTCTTTGGAGAAAGCCTCCTTTCAGGTGTGTCTATAGATCCCACTTAAAAGATCTCTTTTCAATGGCTTGTTGGTCTGCTCTACACTTCTTCCAAAGGGTAAAGTGGTAGTAACTCTTGCTTGCTGTGTGGTTAGCAGCAGGACTTAGTCTGTTTCCCATATTATAGTTATTAGTCACTTCTCTGAAAATTTTTCATTGGCATAAAAGGCTTGGTCCCTTCTCTCTCCCCCTTGTGCACTTACGTAAGTAACTGCACCTCTGACTAACTTTTCGTAGTAAAGCTTAGATCTTGCCTGTTCAGTGACAGTTTGGTTCCCATTGATTGCCACTGCTGGTACCTCTTCTGCACATGGAAGCTCTGTGTGCAAGTTCAGGAAGATTTGACTAAGTTTGTTTTTCTAGTGAGTGTCTGTTCTAAAAATGCATGTTCTAGGGATAGGGAGCAGTCAAGAATGACTTTTGGCTGAGTGATCTGGGTGCCGAGTCAGACTGATGACCCTTCTCTCTGAATGACTGAATCTTTATTTCTTCTATGTTCAGAGACTTAGCTTTTGCCAGAGGGTGTGAACTGTGTGCTTTCACAGCTCAGCCTGCAGCATAAGGCGGGGAATCCGAGACTTAAACTGCCAAAGAAATACAGTCCCGTTCTCGTGCCCTGAGGCAAGTGGGGGAAAAAAAGGCTCTTTTTGGGGGGGCGGGGATTGTTGGCTGGGGCTTTTTTTGCGAACTGTGACCCAACTGTTACTTTTGGTAGCTGAAATAAGCCTGTGTTTTAAAAGAAGTTTGGCTGTGAATTCCACCTTAACATAGGTGCTCTTCTGCAGTTTACTGAAACCAAAGTGGAGCAGAATTCTGTCTGTACTTTTAGGGAACAGACTTGGTCCAGATGTTGTGAATGGGTCCTGTTTGATCACACCAAGCTCTCTATGTTGTACAAGAAATTAGGCAACTAATAGAGAGCTTTTGGACTAAAAAGGATGGGGAGCAGAGATCAGTGCTTACCCGAAGCTTGGCAACGCCATGCTTAATGTAACTTGTAAACTTCTTTGTAGACTTACCCTTTCCTTCTTGGAGGATACTGAGCTGCATACCTTTTTTGGAGGGTCAGAGCTAGTCTGTGTTCTCTCCAGAACCTAAAATCCTGTTTCTGACCAGCAGTGCATTTCCAGTATATGAGCTGACAAGGAGGTGCATGCTTTTCTTCCTATTGTCTGATAGCCATGAAGTGGCTAATCTGCTGACCACACTAGATGATCTACTTGCCTTTCACCTCTCTTGTTCCAGCAATAATCTCTCAGACTTTTTGAGCAGTCAGTCACCATTCTGTGTTATGGAAGCCAAAGCCAATCTAAATGCATTGATGGAGCATGGTAAGAGGTCAATTTGCCAATAAATTCAATGGAAGTCACATGGTGGGGGGGGACATTTTTATCTGGAGGGTGTGAGTTCAGCTTCATTGCCACGTTCAGGCCTCTTATGGTGTTCCCTGTTAAAACCCTTGTCCTTAGGATGATTTACAGAAACTGAGGCAGTCATCTTTACTGCTTGTATAAGTGATTCTGGCTGACAGTCTTGCAACGTGGTTGGTGTTTCTTCAGCTTTATCACTTTTCCCATCCCCGTGTGGTCTTAAGATAGTTCAAACTGCCTTTCTTCCAGACCCAGAGGTGACCGCTGTACTCACTATACTGCCAAGTACATGAAGGAGCATAAAAAGATTATCCAGTAATGCAGAATCCTTGGAGAACACTACAAACGCCCATCACAATCTTGCATTCTTGATTTAAAGGTTTTTAATACAAGTGGCCCAGAATAATTTTTGCTCTTTTGTTAATAGCCCTTGCTTCTTGTGTGTATGTCATTTCCATGAGATGCAGTAGTGCTGAGAGGGTTCTGAAGGATCTTACAGTCCTGAAATTTAAGTAATGTGTCTTCTCTTCTGTCTACCATCCCTGGTATTAGAGAAAGAAAGAACTAGTATGTTGGTTAAATGAAATTGTGCATAGGCTTCTGTGGCTGTTCCAGAGGTTGAGCTGTTGCCTGACACTTTATTCCACTCCAGTAACTGTTGATTTTTTACCAGTCAACTTTGCTTTCCAAAGCCCTTGTGTCATTGTTTGCCTGCTTCATTAATATGTGAGCTTGAGACTGACAGGGCAGTGACATAGAGAAACACAGTGAACTCTGCTAAACATTACATATGTGATTTAGCTGCCAGAGCTACACCAGATTGAGAGAGCAATACTACAGCTGATGTTGGCTGATGCAGCCAATACCATTCACTCTTTCTAGCAGCCAGTGGGGGTGCTGCTGTCAGTAACTCTTACAGTGCAATCCACACTGACATTTTGCTTAATGTTCCTACGTTAGCCCTAGTCACTAAACAAGGTAACAATCACTTGGATGTCATGACCAATTTTCAGTCTTTGTTTCTCAGATTAAAGTCTGTCACAGTTTGGTTTGGTTTTGTGGGGGGTTTTTTTGTTTGTTTTGGTGGTGTGGGTTTTTTGTTGTTGTTTTGGTGGGTTTGTTTGTTTGTTTGTTTGTTTTTAATTCCAGGATATGTTGATAAACTTTTCTTGTGAGCACAGTTGTCAATGTATGGCCCAAACAGGATTTACTATTTAAAAAAAAAAAAAAGTGCCTGACATGGTTTGTGATGGGACTTGTAGACTGTATAATGAAGTTACTGCAGTTGTAGGGCGCCTTTGTTCCCAAGGAATCCTTAACAGTGCTGCTCTTCTAAGCAGCCCTTGATGTGTATTCCCTCTCTAGATTTAGTAAGTGATGTTATAAGTGGCTGCAGATTCTAGAAGCTGGGGCTTCCTCCTTCTTGAGATGTCCCAAGGGCTGGGGCCCTGTCCTTCCCAGGCCCACATATGTGGCTACTGCTTTCTTACTTGGGACTCAACCAGTAGCGAGGCTGGGCATAGACAGACACACACACTACTGACAGAGCTGCTTACACAGATTGCTATATGCCACGTGCTGTCTTCAGCACCCACATAAAACACTGTCAGAACTTGTGTAACATGCAAGTATAGACATCCAAGGCTCCTTCCTTCACTCCAGCTGATCAGGATTGAGCTTCATTAATGAAAACACATACTCTCTTGTGTAGTCTTACAAGTGCCTGCAAGTTTATGAATCCCTCACCCTCTGTGTGTCTAATGCCCTCTGCTGTGCTCCACAGGTCTCCTACTCACTGGCTGGGCTGGTTTAATGCACAGCAGCAAACAAATGCATGTACTCACACACACCTCCATGCATGGATTCCCTGGAGTACCAGTGCAGGCCCTCCCACTGTGTCCTAGTTCCGTGTAAAAAGGGGT